CGCCTGTGGTCCCAGCTACTTGGGAGGCTGAGGCAGGAGACTCGCTTAAGCCAAGGAGTTAGAGGTTGCTGTGAGCTGTGATGCCACAGCACTCTACCCAGTGGGATAGCTTGAGGCTCTGTCTCAAAATAAATAAATAAATAAATAAATACATAAAAATAAAAAAAAAACACTGTAAGTGAAAAAAAGCAGATAATACAACAGTATTTATTGTATCTCATTTATGCAAGATAAATATGCTTACATATGCACCTAAACATGTAAATGAGATTTTGAAAAGCTTTCTATTTTCTACATACCACAAACCAAGTATCCCTAATCCAAAATCCAAAATGCTCCAAAATCTCACCAAACTTTTTGAGCACAAACATAACACTGAAACGTTCCTTGAAGCTTTTCAGATTTCAGATTTTTAAATTATAGATGCTCAACTGGTTAAGTATAAATGCAAATACTCCAAAATCTGAAAAAACACAAAATTGGAAGTACTTCTGGTCCCAAGCATTTCAGATAAGAGATACTCACTTAGAATTAAGTTGTATGAGAATTTATTAATTAAAAAAAAAAAAGGCTGGATGTGGTGGCTCACACCTGTAATCCTAGCACTCTGAGAGGCTGAGGTAAGTGTACTGCTTGAGCTCAGGAGTTCAAGACCAGCCTGAGCAAGAATAAGACCCCATTTCTACTAAAAATAGAAAAATGAGCCAGGCCTGCAGTTACAGCACAGGCCTGCAGCCCCAGTTACTCAGGAGGCTGAGGCAAGAGGACCACTTGAGCCCAGGAATTTGAGGTTGCTATAAGCTAAATACCATAGAACGGGCAACAGAGTGAGACTCTAGTCTCCAAAAAATAAATAAAGATAGGACAGTTTTTTGACTTGGAGGAAAGAAGTCACAGCTAAACCATGTTTGCAAGAACTCAAACTTTACCAGTATCTTTAATTCATTTATTTTAGAGATAGGGTCCTGCTCTGTTATCCGGGCTGGAGTGCATTGGTGCAAACATAGCTCACTATAGGCTCAGACTCTTGGACTCTAATAATCCACTTCAGCCTCCCAAGTACCTGGGACCACGGGAGCTTGTCACTATGCTTGGCTAATTGTTTTTTTAATTTTGTAGAAACAATATCTTTTAAGTCTTATTTCTGGGACATATTGGCTTTAATTTGAATATATGCAAGATGGGTCATAGACATCCAAGTGCTGCTGAGTGACTCATAATAAAAACCAGAAAAGGCTCGGCGCCTGTGGCTCAAGCAGCTAAGGCGCCAGCCACGTACACCTAAGGTGGCAGGTTTGAATCCAGCCCGGACCCGCCAAACAACCATAATGGCTGCAACCAAAAAATAGCCGGGCGTTGTGGC